GAGTCGCGAGAGGAGAGGGGAGTAAAGATACTGCAACCAGAGGAGAAAGACTTTCAGCATTAATGTTACAGCTGCGTCTGTGTGTGTGTGTGTGTGTGTGTGTGTGTGTGTGTGTGTGTGTGTGTGTGTCTACATAGGTTTGAAAGAGTTAAAAAACCTACAGACACAAAGATGCAAAGTTGGTTGTCCATGTCCATGTATGTGTGTGTGTGCGTGTGTGTGTGTACGTGTGTGTGTGTGTGTGTCTCAGCAGGATATTACTCTCCTCCTTTTTCTCCTCGGTCTTTTATTAAGGTTATTAATCTGTTTCCACCTGGTGACTCGGTCGCTCAGTTCTGCCACCTGGCGGTGAGCAAACACAATAACAATAACGGCCGCTTGATTAGATTCAACCCCAGTGTTGACGTTAGGATTACGTAACAGTCTGGATCAGATCAGATCCCTGATGGAACACAGACGGTGATTGGTCTACAGTGCCCTCTGGTGGCGGAAACAGTAAAGGACGGATCATTTTACTGAGAAATAATATTTTTTTAATTATTAAATATATTTAATATTTAGGGAAATAATTTTGTTTTTTTTTTTTAAAAAAGACGTTTTATTTTGAAAAAATTGCTAACAGGAAGTTCCAGCTACGGTTTGACCTCCATGACCTTTGGGACACGTTTTAACATCACTGCTTTATTTTTTAAAATTAATTTTCATTTATTAATTTTAATAAAATTAATTATTAATTTTTTTATTTTTTTTGGTGCGAAAAACACAAGAAAGAGGAGAAACAGGAAGTTGGTTCGTCATCGATCGTGGTTTATTTTTCATAACATTTCTCAAACTTTGGTACGCAACTAACCCCCTCGTCACCTGGTCTCATGTCACCTGGTCTCATGTCACCTGGTCTCATGGTCACCTGGTCACCATAGTCACATGGTCTCATAGTCACCTGGTCACATGTCACCTGGTCACATGTCACCTGGTTTCATGTCACCTGGTCACATGGTCTCATGTCACCTGGTCTCATGTCACCTGGTCTCATGGTCACCTGGTCACCATAGTCACATGGTCTCATAGTCACCTGGTCACATGTCACCTGGTCACATGTCACCTGGTTTCATGTCACCTGGTCACATGGTCTCATGTCACCTGGTCTCATGTCACCTGGTCACATGGTCTCAT